AATGCTCAAATATCTCGCTAATGCGTGCCGTTCCACGAGGACTAAGTTCCATGATGATATAAAAGTGGTGACTTTCCTCGATTGGAGGAATCAACTTGCCTAACCAAAGTACATAATGAGCAATTGTAGCAAACGATGCCTAAAAACTATTTCTGATGTCATTGTAAAACCCAGAGCATAATACTACACAAATTGGCGAACGACATGCTGTGGTAGAGATCTAACTACTACCGCCAGGATCAAAGTTAGGATTACCTTTTTTGAGGATGTGGTTTTGAAGCGTACAGGCACAAAGCTACTGGCTTACATTTCCTCAGGTACGCTTTTCTACGTCAAAACGGATCCGACAAAGGAGCATATGCTGTCGGGTATAACTACTGCAAGGTAATTGGTCCTCATAGCAAAAATAGGTACTACCCATAATCGAAATAGGTAGCCATACGCGTATATTAAAGATCACTTTGCTAGCCAATCAGACTGCTGGAATCATCGGAATGCTATTTGATTGGTCAAACCGAGGACACCGGCGAAAACGTGACTTCAACATTGAAGCTCGCAATGTTTTGGCGCGAAACAAGCCGCTTTGGAGGGTCAACGATTCAAACTCGCGTGCGGGGGCGTCGAGCGCGCGCCAAGCCCCAACGAGTCTCATTCCGCAATTTCCTTTCTTGTGAACACTCGGGTTCATACCGACTGCCCCCACCCATCTCTGCTAACCCACCCGCCGCCTGACACTGACCGATGTCACTACCATTGCACGCTGCCTGACACCACCGAAATCTCTGGTGGAAATGCTGCTCGATTCCCATGCTGTCGTCACGCTGGTCCACACATAAGATGCTAACGCCGACAAGTCGCTGTCGCCACGCCGGTCCGCACGCTGTACGATGCTAACGCTACATGGGCGCCGAACGTCAGTCATACATGCTGCCCGTTTGGAGCGATACCGTTGCTACACTGGTCGCTGCATTCCGTAACCGATGTGAACGCGAAACGGCTACGGCAACAACAATCTTGTGCGATGATTTGCTAGTTTACTGGTAAACGATCACGTAGTGGTGGTGCGTGCATATGCGGAGGAGGCGAGTACTGCTACCAGTGCGATGAAAACGAGTGTGGCGACGATATCGGAGGAGACACAGCAGCGAGGTGCTTGCTACCAAAGGGCCGGAGACGACAGCCATCGACAGCTTGGTGATCGACAGCAAACTGGGAGACATGACGACGACGCCGCTATCTCCGACTCAACAGCTGCTACAACTGTTGCGTGGAATCCATCGCGACGCGGCTGCTAGTGACCGTATTGTCACTGCTACTACATGTCGGTCGTGAACGCTGCCTTTGGTTCTGCTCCCTCTCCCCGCGCGTGGAAGTGGTGACAGCTGCATCATTGAAGCTTAAACGTTCATTGCCACTGCACGCAGTTGCCAACATTCTTGACGTAGTCTGTTTGATCCACGCAAAGATGTTCAAGATGAGGGTTACCGGCCATTACATGCTGATTCTAGATGAACTTCATTTTTAACTTACTAGCTCGCTCTTTCACGTCATACTCTTCTAGATTGTTTTGAGCGACCTTTCGATAAGTACAGCTCCAAGTTTGTTTGTTTTCTAGATTCTCACCAAACACACACTTTTTCGAATCCATACCACTTGCAGTGGTGTACCTGCATATCTAATACTAGGCAGGTACGATTGTACTACTCTTAGTATTTGCTGGTTCCCAACTGCAACGTAAAGAAGCTACTTGATACGAACTTCCTTCCTTGCTGCAGACTGCACCACGAAGCACGGGAAAGCAGAAGGTCCAAGTAGCGTAACCGTCGGCCGACCACCAAAACGATACGCGTCTCGAAGCTCACAATGAGCCAACTAAAGCGGCTGCACATGCACCCAGGAAGTGCAGTGAAGCGAAAGCCACCACTAACTGCGGACTCGAAGTTCTTCGTATCCCTCATCGACAAGCCTCGA